CCCATCTGTCCAGACCCTTGAGTCTCAGGCTGAGGGTGTTCATGGAGGTCAGGGGTGGGACTCAGGGCCATGGTGATGCGGGTGGCCCAGGAGGGGGGAGCAGCAGCCTCCTCCCCCATCAGCAACCACATGTGGCCGTCCCCTCTCTGCACATCGAGGTCAGCACAGCAGAGCCAGATCCTGTCCTAATAGATTCACTGTCCAGTGGCAGAAAATAAGTCTCCCAACCTCTGAGCTCCCCGTGACAGGAGATTCAGTGGGTGATGTGCAGGCAGGGTGGGGATGGCTCCTCCCTAGTATGGAGGTGCAGTGTCAGGAGGACTGAGCGCAGGGACATGGGGCTGTGAGGTGAGGATTCCGTGCGTTAATGCATGCCAAGGACACAGAAGTTAATACATGCCAAGGACACAGAGGAGGCCTGGGAGACGGAGGCTGTTGTTATTGTACAGTGAGGTTTGGTGGGGAGGAAAGTCTGAGACGAAGGGCAGATTTCGAAAGGGGTAGAAACTTCTCCTTTCCTCAAGGCAGCCTGGGCATCAGGTCAGATTTCACCACCCTCGTTATCTCACAAGGCCTCCTTCCTCCAGAGCAGGCCGGGTGGCCCGGCCCGCAGGGCTTTCCTGCTGCAGGTTCTGCTCCCAGGGGTGTCCTGGTGACGCCTGCCTTGGGGCTGCCCACTCCGGGATGGTCAGGATTATGTACAAGAAGAAACACACACCCGAATTCAACACAAGATGATTTTCAACTGTGTTTCTGGGGCTGGAGGAAGTAGGGGGAGCTTCCCTTGACCCAGGTCAGTTTTTCTTGAAACATTTCTTCAAGGAAATATAACACACGCAGATAAAAGTGTCCCCCCAAAACCGACTTAGTGGTTTAAACAAAATGTAGAACATCACCAGCACCCCAAGTGTTCCCCTTTCCTGTGGGCCACACCCCACTCCCTCCCGAAGGAGCCCCTATCTTCACTGTAATGCTCGTTGCCTCTTGCTTTTCTATGTATTTTTGTCATCTGAGCGTGCTGCCTTGAACACTATGACTTTGCACACCTTTTTCTGAAGAGGTTGTTACATAGAAAATTACAGCCTACTTTCTCGCACTCGCCTTCACAGATCCGCCTGTGCCATGTGAGAGCCGCATTGTCTATAACTGGAGTAGACCAGCTTTGGTAATTGAGAAGGGGAGGTGCAGAGCTTGGGCAAGCATAGCCCGCCCGCCCCCACCACCAATGCTTGCATTTTCAGCTGGTATCTCACCCTGCAGCCGCTTCCCCTTCCTGGGCCCCTCACCCTTGCCTAATCGCTGTCTCCCAACAGGGGCAGTTGCAGCATCTCAATGGTCAGAAGGGCTGAGCCATGGCCCATCTGTTTCTGAAAGTCCCAAGTTGCAAAGAAAAGAAGAAGAATACAAAGGAGAGACAGAGGAAAGCCACAGAGAATCTAACTGAGCGTAGAACGGGTATTTATGACCAACTTAGGACCCAGAAGACCTGGGAGGCCCTGGAGCCCCGCCCCCTCAATTTGTAGACGAGGACACCAGGTTTCAGAATATCGAGTGCTATGATCTGAATGTTTGTGTCACTGCAAGATGTGTACGTTGAAATCCTAACCTCCAAGGTGATGGTATGAGGAGGTGGGGGTCCTTTGGTGGTGATTAGGTCACGATGGTGGAGCCCTCATATTGGAATTTGTGCCCTTATAAAAAGAGACCTCAGGGAGTGTGTTCACCCCTTCCAGCATGTGGGGACACAACTAAAAGGCATCATCTATGAGAAAAAGAGGCCCTCATCAGGCACCAGAGCTGCCGGAAACTTGGTCTTGGACTTCTCAGCCTCCAGAACTGTGAGAAATAAATTTACATTTATTATAAGCCACCCAGTTTATGGTATTTTGTCATTGCAATAGGAATGGACTAAGATAGCAAGTGAATTTCCAAAATCACACAGGGGTCCTGTCTCATGCTCTGCTGTGTACCCAGGGAGACACTTCATCGACCTTGTCTGTCCAGGATTGATCGGGCTGGAAAAGAGGAAGCTCATGTTCATTCGAGAGGGAAGAATTGTCAAATCCCTTCCATGAGCTGAGGAAGACATTCATTCATTCATGAGTGCATTCATTCATTCACTCTGCAGCCAGGAAGTGAGCATCCATGCTGTGCCTTGAAATTTCCAGGAAAGGGCTGAATAGGACAGACCCAGTCCTTGCCTTTGAACAGAGCAGCATGTGGTTGGGAGACAGACAAGTCACCTGACATTTCCAATGTCAGAGGGTAGGTGGCTGTGACGGGGGGGCACAGACTGGGGGTGGAGGTGTGGATCTTGCTCTTCTGGCATGGAAGGTGATTCTCAGGAAGGAACGGGCAGAGCAGACACAGTAGGAACTCTCAGGCAGTCATCGTGGATGTGAAGACCCTGGAACCCGGAACCCCTGGCCTCTCAGGAGCCGTGTTCCCATCCCTCTCACCCTCCCACTGCCCTGCAGACCCTCAGGCAGCTACCAAGTTCTGGGAGGTATGAAACCAACCCCACCTCTGCCCCAGCGGAGATCAGGGCACCACCCATAGGCGGCGTCCTTCTGCATGGGACAGACTGGCTCCTGGGGCTGTCCAGGAAAGGGTGATGGTGCTGTCCCTGGGGGCAGTGTCCGCGGTGGCGCTGTCTGTGGTGGTGATGTGGAGTTGAGCCCTGACTTTGGAGACGTCTGCAGCTCCACGGAGGGCCCTGACCACAGACAACAGGGGCCGTAGGTTGGAGTCAGACAGTCAACATGTCAGATGTCCTGGAGAGAGTGTAGGTCCACCTGGGAGGAGGCACACAGGAGAGGGACAGACTTCTGTTTTTGTGCCTTGTGCTTCTGTCTCCCCTCAGCAATGTCCCATGGACAATGCCAGGCCGTTGCCAGCAGTCCAAGATCGGAATGTTGAAGCCCTGTGCTGTCCCTCTACAAACATGTTCCCATTTCATCCTCCCGACATCCCTGACTGACTGAGGCAGTCCCCTTGGTCAGGGAGAAGAGGCATCTGACACTCAGACAGCTGAGTAACTGTAGGAAGTTGTCTCCAAAGACAACCCCAAGCAAGCCCACCCCTCCCTACACGAACGTGGCACTTCTGGCATTACGAGATGGAGTTTATTATTACTGTTATCATCTTTTCTTGACTCTGAATTGGACTCATGACGCTTTGACCAATAAAAAATAGAGAAAAAGGTGTTCAGAGACTTCTGTGGCTCAGACAGTAAAGAGATCTTGCAGCTTCCACTCCACTGCATGGATCCCTGGGCTTCTGTGTGAGCAACTCGCGGTGCTCTGAAGCAGAGAGATGCTGCGTGCAGGAGCACTGAGGTTCCAGACATCCGGCCCCAGTTCAGGCCACCATCTCAGTGCAACCGCCCGGACGAGCCCAAAGAAAAACTAGTAAGAAAGTTGCCTATCTGGGCTCCAGCCAATTTACAGCACCACAGATGTAGTAAAGTGACTACTTGCCCACTGAATTTGGAGGTGGTTTGACGTGCAGCAGTAGGTAATGGAAACAGTAGCCCACACAAATCACAGCCAATATGGAAAAGGTAATGTTGGAAGTTTATTAGTCTAATTTTCCTACCTGCTGTATTTAAAGGATTACTTTTAAACAGTAATTGGCAGGCTTTGGTGAAGACACTTGTGAAGGCTTTGTTCTCCGTCACGTGACCGGGCTGGAACCACATTTCCCAGAACTCCCTTCCCCATTTGCTTTGAGGTGACACAAAAGAAGGGGGAAGTTGAAGCTGCAGCCACGATGCTCTGAGGGTCAGTGTAGGGCCAGGTGCTACTGCAGCTCCGCACACTGTCCCTGATTTGTCAGGTCACTGCCCTGGAGAGGCATGATATCTGTTAACTGCTGGGCAGCAAGGATAGTGTTGGGGACACTGGCTGGGCATCAGGGAGCAGAGAAGTATTGAGTCCTGACACCTGCATTGGTGACACAGGTGGACACAGGTAGCCAAGAGAGTGTACAGTGCTGTGCAAAGGATCCAGGAAAGCTCCATCCCCAATACCTCTCTCTTCCTAAAATTCCTTTTGGGATGACATAGGATCTCTTTGACCTGACAACTAGAGCCATTTGCCCATTCGCAGGCTCACCCAGCTCACAAACCGCAGACTGTGAGACTTCTTGGCCTCCAAGATTTGTGTCAATCAACCCCTCATAATAAATTTCTGTGTATGTGTGTGTGTGTGTGTGTGTGTGTGTGTGTGTCTGTGTGTGTCTGTGTGTGTCCTGTTGGTTCTGTTTCCCTGGAGAAACCCAACAAATACAGGCAGTAAGGGGACAGATAGACTAAGCAAGGTCTCAGGGGCCATATTTCCTACTTTCACAATATTTCCACGAGAAATAGGAGCCACTGAAGGGCTGCAAGCATGAGAGCTGGAGGCGACACGGTCATCCGTGTTTTCGGATGTCCACTCTGGCTGCCCTGGGGAGAGCGGGCAGGAGGAGCAGCTGGAGGGAACCAGGAGAGTGAGCAGGAGTCTGGGGCCACTTATCATCCTGTATGTTGTGGACGGGGACTCCCATCACTCAGCGCAGCAGGACCCTCATTCACCTTTGTAACCCCTGAAAACGTTGGGCCGAACTTCGCTCACAGTAGGCGATACAAACGCAGAAATTCAAAGCTCAGATTTAGGGGAGAAAGAGAACAAATCTAGTGTACAATAGGAAGAAAGTTTTGAATGAAAACTGTATAGTGTTAACACGGTAACTTTTGAGGGTGGGAGGACAAGTTCCTGAAATCTCATCGCCTCATCAGAGGGCTGGGACAGGGGACAGGAAGGAACAGGGATGGGCAGGGGAGGGGGCGGTGCACACATGGGGAGAGGGACAGGCAGGACAAAAAGCAGCAGTCAGTGGGGTGTGAGTGGACAGTTTCCAGAGAGCAGCTGACATGTCTGTCCTCAGGGCTCAGTATCCACACCTCAGAAGGAAGGGCTCAGTCAGGTCCCCTCGCCCAGCTACCCCGGGGGCTCCGCACCTGCGCAGCCAACACGGGTCTCAGATCACCAGATCACAGTTTAATTCTGACTCCTGGTGGGTCAGGACAGCTCAGCCCCACCTAGAACTCAGGGACATATTGCTGTGCTATACTAGAGACAGGCAGGTCTGTTCACCTGCTGCAGTAGATGCAGGTGAGGCCATAGGTGAGGAGGAAACCAGCCCGCATGAGGGCCCCTGATCAGGGTGAGGACCAGGACCCAGGAGCCCTCCTGCTCCACAGTGACACATCTGCAGCCAGAGGAGCCCCCTGGGGAAGAGGAGAGGAGGTGAGGTTCCGTCCCCAGGCCTCAGCCCCTCACAAAGCCCGAACACCTGACCACGCTGCCCACTCCAGCACCTGCATCTCCATCCTCTACATGGGGCACCTCCAGGACCCTGGGTGCTGAGAGCTGGGAAGGATTCAGGGCTTTTCTCTTCTGGGACCAGCTCAGTGTGGCAGGGGGGTTGCTGTCAGCCACACAGACCAGGCGCAGGGACTGGCCCCCCTGACAGTCAGGGACATGCCATTGCTCAGGGTCTTCAGGGCTGGGTGAGAGACAGAGAGAGCAGGAGGCTGAGCTGAGACACCCATCTCTCCCTTAGCTACTATCAAACAGAAACAGAAGACACCTGATAATTTCAGTGGCACTCCTGGGTTGATTATGGTTGCATCGGGGGTTTGTGGGCAGAAACCTGACTGTGGGAGAGTGATGTCGAATCTCACCCTTCCCGTCTTGTGAGCCCGGGAGTCCAGCTCTGCTGTGGATTGGCAGGGACCTTATTCCCAACTAGCCCCAGAGAGAAGAGATACCTCCACTATTTTCTCGAAAGGCAATGCTGCCCAAGGAATGGAGTGTCTAGGACAGAAACGCAACAGTTCCTGCTTCAGCGGTAAGGGTTGGAAGGGGTGGTGGCCCTCCCTCCTTCTCCAGCCACACAAACAGCAAAGAAAGTGGGTTCTGGAATCCTTCCTGTCCCCTCTCCTCAGTGTGGGCCCCAGGAACCAGGCACTAAGTATCCCAAGTCCTTGGATTCCCTCCCTATTGTGTTCAGTGTCCTGGGAGTCCTGGCCCCGCCAAACTCACAGGAAACATTGAGCTGGATGGTTTTCTATGACCAAGCAGGCTCCAGAAAACACCACACACTAGGGTAGCTGATGCCACATCCCTGGGATTGTGGGGTGAAGACCTAGAAATGAAGGATTGCCCAGATCCTTTATTTGCTATGATACACTGAACTGTCTCCTCCTTCCAGCCTTACCTTGAAACAATGTTTCTGGGGTGCAGGTGAAGAAGCCTCAGTACACAAGAGGATACCTATCCTCCCAAGACAGAACAGACCTGGTGAGCCCCAGGCAACCGGGATTGGGCTTTCAGTGGTGCTGCAGGGTGCTCAGGGTCGGGTCCTGAGTTCAAATGTTACCCAGCTCTGCTGAGGGGTCTGATCCCACAAGCAGGGAGCCCAGTCCTCGGGCCAGGAGGGCAGCCGTGTAACGTGAGCTGGTGGAAAGGTCTGACTTGCCTGAGATAAAAGAACTTGAGGAACAAGCAGACAGTCTCATCGGTGGGCTTCGCTCCTCCTCTCTGCCTCTCGGTTCATCTTCAGGGACTTTTCTGGATGTTTGGCTGTCCCTGCTTGTGTAAGGACAGTCAGACTACAGGAAAGACCTGGGTCTAAGATTGAGGATCCCAGTGGGGACCTAGAGGGATAATGATCCCAGGAGAGTATCTGGTGGGCCGCATGTAGAGACGTTGAGAATGGGAGTGTCAGGGACTCACAGGGAAGCGGCCATCAGTTTTAAGAACTAAAATTACTAGAGCAAGAAGCATCTGTTAACTCTTATTTTACTCACTGTTGTATTTCAGGAAAGGCTTTTTAAACTGTTTTCTCATAAGACCTTTCTAGGTATGATTTGTACTTATTAAATAGAATATTTAGCAGATCTTGGAGAAACCAGCTGACTTTCAGTCATCCTGGAGTGTGTCCCCATCTCCCCCATCAGGAGGCAGAGTTCAGAAGGAAGTGACCAGGTCTGATTCATTTGTGTCACCGAAACCTAGCCCAGGGCCATCCTGGCACAAGGAGTCCTCACGAGATAAATTCAACAAAGGAACCAATGAGCACAAATGGACAGAACTGGCCCATGATGACACTTAACAGTGACCTCATGGAGGTCATCTAAGCGGAAAGGAAGGCATCACGGTTTGGGGAAAAATGGGTGTGGCTTCCCTCTCACATGATCTTGCCTTGGGGTGCTGTACATCTCAGCCTTTGACTCTCTGAGGCTCTGGTTCCTTCATCTTCAGAAACTTTGAACCCTGGTTTTGTGGGGAACTAGGTTTGGAGACCCTCAAGGGTCTCAGTTGCTTAGCCCTGGATATCCAGGCTCCTGGGTATCTGAATCCTTGGACTCCTTGGGTCCTGATACTTGAGTCTCCAGGGTCGCCAAGGCCCTTGGGCTTTGGGGGAAAGGTGAGGGTATCCAGATCCCTGTGACTTGGAGGTGGGGAAGGTTGTCTCTAGGGTACTGGTTCTCTCAGCTGCTTGGGCCCCAGGGGTCTGCGTCTTTAAACTCCCTTGGTCTCAAGGGTCTGAGTCTCTGGGCCTCTAAGCTCCTGGGTTAGGGGGAAGAGTCTGAACCTTTGGATCCTTCCATCTGGAGGGTGTGGGTCTCCAGACCCCTGGTTCACTGGAACTCTGGAGGTTCCATGACCCTAGGCCCAGAGAATACTGAGTATCAGAGGTCTGAGATTCAGATTCTTCAGTCTTGAAAGTCGGGGTCTCTGGGGTCCCTAGGGTCCCCGGATCGTCAGGACTCTCTCACCTGCCCTTTATCCTTCGAATTCCACCTCCAGCACCACGTGAGAGGAGTGGGTGGGTACCCGTTTCACTGCCCGGCATCTGCGCAGTGGATCTCAGTCGCACTCACTACCCAGGACCAATGGCACGTGCAGACACCCCCTCCAATACCGTTGACAGCTGATGCACACGCAGAGACCCTCAGCCTGCACCCCGCTCCCTCTCCCAATTCGACCTGCACCCGCGGAATCTCTGTCCTGCGCGTGCGCCATCTCCCCATTTTACGCTCGCGACCAACCCCTGCGCCCCTACCTTTAATTCCCACCTGCAACCCCTTTCTACCTCAAGGTAGAAAAATTATGCTCTGTAATGCCTTTAAAACCATATAATAATCCCCCCAAACCAGGAAATCAGACTACAGCCACTTCGCCTATCCAGCAGATGCTGGGGGGAGGGGGGGTTGGTAGGAGAGGAGCGAGAGACACACACACACACACACACACACACACACACACACACGGGACACGGCGCGCTGCCATAGCAACCACCGTACACGGAGCTCCGCTGCTCCCGTGCGCAGGCGCAGAAAGGAAACATAGCAGTGCATTTGGGGAGCTGTAGGCAGAACACGAGGAGGGGCCGCAGCAGTTGCTGGGAGTTGTAGGCCAAGCCGGCCTCGGAGCAACAGGAGCTTCTGGAGGAGCTGCTGCGTGATGTTCTGGAAGCCGTACGTAAGGCAGCCCCAAGGCCTTGTGGGAGTCGTAGTCTCTAAGTCACTTCCGTGCAGAGCTTCCGCGTGGCAGGCCCTCTGGACGTCTGAGCACCGCGTTCTGCTCCGGTGAGTATTTTCTCCTGCGTCGGATCGGCCCGTGGATGGTGACACTCGCCTCTGTGATTTCCCAGTCCTGTGACCCAGAGGCCTTCTGGCCAGGATCCCTACTCTGGACACTGCGGTCCGGCCTATCTCTTGCCCTTCCAGCTCCTTCCCCCCACGTAAGGATAAGCCCATCTGCCGGCCCCTGTCCCCATGTCACACCTTATCCATCTTTCTGACAAAGCTGCAATCCAGAGGCATCCCTGGGGTCCGCGGCCTGGCTTCTGGGAGCTTTTATTATTCCCTCCCATCCTGTAGATATTTACTGAGCACCGACTCTGTGCAAGGCGGCGGGTTTGGGGAGCGGGAACAAGGCCAACCCTATACCTTCCTTTAAGAAGCTCGGTGGGAGTGACAGCCAAGTCAGGATCAGGACTGGGATGGAGGCATACAAGCAGCTCTGGGAGCCCAGCGGAGGCGCCCGACCCAGTTTGGGGTCCATAAAGTCTTTGAGGGGAAGGCACTTCAATCCTGGTAACAGGTCCAAATGGAGTTCCTGGTCTTTTCCCCTCACTAAATAGCCCCAACATCCTCCCAGGGGCTCAGGCCAAAACCTCAAAATTATCCTTAATCTCCCTCTTTTATCATCACCCCACGCTCCACTCCAATCCAAGTCTTGTGCAAGTCCTATGGACTCCACCTTCAAAACAGACCCAGGATTTCATTTCTTCCCACGTCCACTGCCACCACCCCGTCCAGTCCTCCACCATCTCGCTGAGCACCGCCATAGCCTCCTCACTGGCCTCCCGGCTTCTGCCCTTGCCACTGACAGTCCTTCCCACACAGCAGCCAAAGGAATCCTTTTGAAACCTATGTGAGATGATTTCCCTTCTCTGCTCAAAAACCTTCCATGGCTCCTGTCTCCCTGTGAATAAAACTGAAATTCCACATCATGGCCCATGAGGCTCCGCCAACTTGTGCAACCGCATCTGCTGCCAGGGTCTCCCTTCCACAGGATGTGGACCCCCAGGACTGGGTGACTAGATCTAGAGGGTGACATGAGTCCAAGGTGACCTTATGCCCTGTCCTGCAGAAGTGCTGGGTGGTGGTGGCTACTCTCAGAAGACAGGGGACAGCTGGGCAAGGACAGGTTTCTGCATTGTGAGGCATAAGTTGTCTGGGCACTTAGTGTCTGAGGGTCTGAAAGGTGCCCCAGAGGGGATCTTCAGTGGGCCGTTTGGAGGACCAGCCTTGATGGACATCTGAATATCATGACTTAGAGGCGCCCACAGGGAGAACGGGAAGAAGGGTGTCGGGCAGGACCTGAGGACATGAAGATGCCCTCCCAGAGAGATGTGAGCAGAAGAATATTCAGGAACTCAGACAGAGGATTGAGCCAGAAGCCAAGGGAGAAGAGATTTCAAGGGGTGTTGCTCAGTGTGAGTCCTGAGGGCTGCTTGCTGGGCTCAGTGACAGAGAGAACAGCCAGTGCAAACACCTGGAGGCAGACGTGTTCCTCAGGCGTTTGACAGACAGTAGAAGCCAGTGTGGCTGAAGCAGAGTGCGAGGAGATGAGGTCAGAGGAAAAAGGAGCCAGATCACGTAGGACCTCATCAGCCATTAGCAGGGACTGAAGTGAGACGAGATCCACGGGAGGATGGCAAGAAGATACTGGGCAGGATCCCACTGGCTGTTAAGTGGAGAAGAGTGTGAAGAGGAGGGGACGTGGGGACAGGGAGACCAGTGAGGAGCCCCCTGCAAGAGTCCCAGAGAGAGACGGCCCAGACTAGGGTGGCGACCGTGGAGATAGTGAGAAGTGATTGGCTATTTTGAAGCTACAGTCAAACAGGATTTACTTCATTCTGTTTGGACACCTGGAGTTTGAGGTCTGAGGAAGCCTGAGTAGGGTATTTGGAGAAAAGGTCCAGATGTGACATTGTGATTTGGTCATCCACTGGGAGAGTGACGACTTTTGTTGGGAGAGACAACAGTCCAGGATCCCGGACCTCAGGCTTCTGGCCTGAGCAGCTGGAAGGACGGAGCTGCCCTTTACTCCAGGAGAAACCTGTTTTGTTAAGAGGAATCAGGAATTTGGGTTTTGAGATGCCTATTAGAAATGTGACTGTCCCTGCCCTTATGGAAATTAGACAGTAAATATAGAGTCACATAAAATCCACACATTGTGATAAATTCTAGAAGCAGCCTGTTCTGAATGACAAGAAGGCTACTGCAGTAGTCCAGGCTGGAGATGATGGTGGCTTGAGGAGGGGGGACTGAGCCTGGTAAATTTTCATGGCTTCACTAGGCACCTGGGACCAAGGAGGGTGTGTGTGTGTGGCTGGAAGGTTGGAGTCCTGGCTGAGTGGGGAGGGGCAAGGTGGGAAAGGAGAAGAGATCGGGGTCAAGGGTGGGTTGATCCATGTCTTGATGAGGCCACAGAAGCCTGTGGGGATTCTGATCCCAGAGCAGGGTTGAATCCAATCCTACAGGCCCACACCCCTCACCTCCAAAACAGGTGCAACCCCAGCTGGTCTCCCGAGAGGTGTGATTCAGGCTGCCTCTATGTGTCCCTGGCAGTCACCTTGCCTTTCAGAGGATGCAATCGGGACCCATTTCTAGAGACAGTGTCTTTAGGGGTAAAGTGAAATCCAATTGGTCTTTCCTGTTTATCCCCCTTCCCCTGAACAGAGCTGCAGTCCCCTGGCCTCTGTGTTTAGAGTCACTGGCCCCTCTTGTCCCAAGCTCTCTCAACATCCCTGGAGGCCCAGGTCAATGATACCCACCCTGTCCCTCTGATCAGGGGTGTAACATGGGTGGCCTCCCTGGAGGCCATGCAACTGGTCCTTAACAGACACCCCATCCCATGGACAGGACACAACCTAATTCCAGGTATAACCTGGCTGTCTCTTCCTCTCTTTCCTCCAAAACCAATTCCTTAAGTTCCTTCTCTTTTGGGTGCATACCGAGTTCAACCCAAGAAGGCTTTCTGGACGAAGTGGCCCTCAGTCACCAGAACCATGTACAACTCTCCTGTCCCCAGCTCCAGAATAAGCTACTCTGCCCGCACACACCTGCCCCTGGCCTATTCCCGGCAGGGGTGCTATCAGGCAGCCTCTCAGGCAAAGACCCCGCAATCCGGAATCCACATGTAACCCACTCCCCTCTCTCCCGCTCTAGGAGAAGCCGACGCCTCCCGCGATGCCCGCCCCACCGTGCACCTCCTGCCACACGGCACGAGCTGCCCTCCGCCGCCCGCGCTCGGGACACGCGCTGTGTGGCGCCTGCTTCTGCGCCACCTTCGAGGCCGAGGTGCTGCACACGGTGCTCGCGGGCCGCCTGCTGCCTCCGGGTGCAGTGGTGGCCGTGGGCGCCTCGGGTGGCAAGGACTCCACCGTGCTCGCGCACGTGTTGCGCGAGCTCGCGCCGCGCCTGGACATCTCGCTGCAGCTCGTGGCTGTGGACGAGGGCATTGGCGGCTACCGGGACGCGGCGCTGGCGGCTGTGCAGCGCCAGGCAGCGCGCTGGGAGCTGCCGCTCACCGTCGTGGCCTACGCAGACCTCTTCGGGGGCTGGACGATGGACGCCGTGGCCCGCAGCACGGCCGGCTTGGGCCGCAGCCGCTCCTGCTGTACCTTCTGCGGGGTGCTGCGGCGCCGAGCGCTGGAGGAAGGGGCGCGCCTCGTGGGAGCCACGCACATTGTGACGGGTGAGCGCAGGCGCGGGGCGCGGCGGGAGTGCGCAGGCCGGGGGCGGGGCCCCAAAGGGGGACTTGGGCGCATGCCCTGAAAGTGGGAAAGGCGACCATGGGCGTGACTTACGAGGAGGAGCCCAGTGAGCAGCTAGGGATGTGCGCGTGCTCCTGTTTGGGGCTCACGACACTGGGGAGAAAACCGGGCTGCGCAGGGTGTCACAAAGGCTTGGGTCTTGGCCACCGTCTTGGTCTTTACAGATTGGCAAAGTGGTTGGGAGGTAAAAGTCTCTGGGGATTAGATCTTTGGTTCTTTACTTATTTTTACTTGTTTCTAATATTCTTGGCCTCTCACGGTCCATCTGTCAGACTCCATCTCTATCTCTGAAAAGGATCTCTGCCTCTTAACTCCTTTTGTTGGCCTCTCCTCCTCTCTTTGATAATTCGTTTTTATTCTCTCTCTCATCCATTCCTTCAACGAACAGCTGCTGAGTTCCTACTACATGCCAGATCCAAACTGTGGCCATAACAAAGCTCTTAATCTCTCCGTACTCCTGTTTCCCCATCCCTACACCAGGGACCATTAATGGTGCCAGGTCAGAGACTTGTTATGACCATTAGATGAGTTAGTAGGAGTAAAGTATATATATCTGTGTGTTATCTATTATTATGTATTACATAATATATTTTATATGTGCTATTGTCATCATTGCCAGGCTAGGGCTGAGTATACAGTTATGTACAAGTTCCTACCTTTGTGTGGTTCTCAAATATAAAATTATAAATGCTCCTAAGTGGCCAGGCGTGGTGGCTCACGCCTGTAATCCTAGCACTCTGGGAGGCTGAGACGGGTGGATTGTTTGAGCTCAGGAGTTCGAGACCAGCCTGAGCAAGAGCAAGACCCCATCTCTACTAAAAAAATAGAAAGAAAATTATCTGGACAACTAAAAATATATATAGAAAAAATTAGCCGGGCATGGTGGCGCATGCCTATAGTCCCAGCTACTCTGGAGGCTGAGGCAGAAGGATTGCTTGAACCCAGCAGTTTGAGGTTGCTGTGAGCTAGGCTGATGCCACGGCACTCTAGTCCGGGCAACAGAGTGAGACTCTGTCTCAAAAAAAAAAAATGCTCCTAAGTGTTACTAAAGAAAATTACATGGACTATGTGTGCAAAGAGAGAACCTTGTGACATGGTGGGAGGGAGTCAGGAAAGTCTTTGAGATCTGAGAGCTCAAGGTGAAGAGGTGCACAGGGGTATGGGGTGGGGTGGGGTGGTTGTTGGCTTGTGCAAAAGCCAGTTTGAGATGCCCCAGGTAGGCCAATGTGGCTGGAGCCCAGAGAGCAAAGGGAGGTGAGGCTAGAGGTGGATGAATTCACACCTTACCCTTTGGGCAGTGGGGGAACCAGTGAAAGTGACATGAAGTGAAGAGTTTCAAAGGAATAGAACTTTGACAGGCTCACCCTGGCCATGGTAAAGAACCTAGGAGGGGCAAGGACATAGCCAAAGACACCAGTTAGGAGGGAGACAGCTGTAGTCGTCTAGGTGAGAAGTGATGGTTGTAGGAAACAGAAGGACAGAATCAACACATTCGAGGAATATGAAGACAAAGGTACCTCTGGGACTCTCTTCTCCCACCGTGCTAGGGCACGGACTCCGGGGAGAGCACCCAAGCTTCAGTCACTGGTGTAACCTTGGACAAATCCCAGATCTCTGAGCCTTAGCTTCCTCTGGTGGAGAACAGGAAGACTAATCCTTTCTGCACAAGAGCAGTCTGTATGGAGCAATGAGGTTGCCTTGGGTTTTAAAGTTAATTTATTAGAATCACTTATTAATTGTACTTACAAAAATAATGAAGGCTTCAGAAAAATCCCTAACTTATAAAGTGATTTTTACCCTTTGTTTATACACTCTATTTTTAAAGGCATATTATAATAGTTATTGTAATAATTATTACAAAATCAGGGAGCTCTTAAGTGGGTTTGTAATGACAAGGTGAGGAGCAAATCCAGCCTCCTGTAATTAACGTGGCTTACAACTTTAAGTCAGCAGACACAACTCTTGGACGATAAACACTTAACTGGATGTAGTTTCCAGTGGCACACATAGCTGGTCTCAAGGTCACAGGCCTTTGGAGGGTCACTATTACCACAAACAAAATTAGAGCAAAGTTCTTGCTGGGTTTTACTATGTACACTGGGGGTTTCTCAACTTCAGCCCTATTAACATTTGAGGCCAAGTAATTTGTTGTTCGGAGGCTATCCTGTGCATTGTAGGGTTTTAGTAGCATCCCTGGCCTCTACCCAGTGATGCTTGTAGCAACCCCCGGCCCCCGCCCCCGCCATCACAGCCAAAAATGTCTCCAGACATTGCCAAATGTCTCTGGGGTTAGGGAAGGAGGAGAAAATCACCCCAGGTTGTGAACCACTGGTACAGTCTCAAATATAACTTGACAAGACACAGGACAAATACAGATTTCGCTTCAATGATGGTGACTTTATGTGTAAATATTTCTCACTGGTCTTTCTAAACAAAGATGACACAGAAACACTGCAGTCAGAAAAAAAAAAAAGATAATATGCTGAAATAAATTTTTAAAAGAACACTGCAGCCTGTTTTGTCAGAGACACTGTGTCAAGAACCATTGCTTTTCTGTGGCTGCTATAGCAAATTACTACAAGTTTCACGGCTTAACACAAATTTATCATCTTGCAGTTCAGGAACTTAGAGGTCCAGCAAGAGTCTCGCTGGACTAAAACCCAGGTGTCAGCAGGGCTGCACTGGGAAGCGGGACGGGGGATCCATTTCCTTCCCTTTTCCAGCCTCTAGAGGCCGCCCACGTTCCCTGGCTCGTGGCCCCTTCCTCCTCTTTCAAAGGCAAGAATGGCAGGTTGAGTCCTCATTTTGCCTTGCTCTGACCTTACTTCTGTCCTCACTACCCCAACTCTGACTCTTCTGCCTCCCTCTTCCACGTCAAGGATTAGAAGTGATTAGATTGAGTCCCCCTGGATGGTCCAGGATCCTCCCCCAGGTTAAAGTCGGCTGGTTAGCAACCCTAACCCCACCTGCAACTTCAATTCCCCTTTGCCCTGTAACCAGACGTGTTCGCAGGTTCCCAGGATTAGCACATGGACACCCTAGGGGCTGGGGGAGAGCAGCCTGCCTACACCAGCTATCTTGAGATCTCCGTTAAATGCCATTTTGACTTTTGTGCACAGTTTGAATTACAGTTTTACAGCTTTAACAGAGGCTGAGAAGGTATTAATTAGCAGCATAAAGCACTTTTACTCCCTATGTGTAGGGGCAACTAGCACAGGATGTGGGATGCAGTAGCTGGGTGGCAAATGAGGGTACCCCCAAGTTGCTCCAGGAGAGTTTGTGTGTGTCTCCCTCTCGTTCTTGCTATGTCCATCTCCAGCCTCCACCTGGCTGCTCTACGATGCCCGGGGGGGTCCATGGCCCGCCGTCCCCATCCCCGTCTCTCTCTGGGTCCTGGCAGCCCTACGGTGCCCAGGTGGCTCCGCCCTCCGCTCCGCACCTCACTTGCTCCCGTCTCTCCCCCACCAGGTCACAACGCTGACGACATGGCGGAGACGGTGCTCATGAACTTCCTGCGGGGCGACACGGGGCGGCTGGCCCGGGGCGGGGGCCTGGGCTCGCCGGGCGAGGGGGGCGCCCTGCCGCGCTGCCGCCCGCTGCAGTTCGCGTCGCAGAAGGAGGTGGTGCTGTACGCGCACTTCCGCCGCCTCGACTACTTCTCCGAGGAGTGCGTCTACGCGCCCGAGGCCTTCCGCGGCCACGCCCGCGACCTGCTCAAGCGCCTGGAGGCGGCGCGGCCGTCGGCGGTGCTGGACCTCGTGCACTCGGCCGAGCGCCTGGCGCTGGCCCCGGCCGCGCTGCCCCCGCGCCCCGGCGCCTGCTCCCGCTGCGGGGCGCTCGCCAGCCGCGCGCTCTGCCAGGCCTGCGCCCTCCTGGACGGCCTGAACCGCGGCCGGCCGCGCCTGGCCATCGGCAAGGGCCGCCGGGGGCTGGACGAGGAGGGGCCGCCTGGGGATCGGGCCCGGCCCCCTGCCTCGGAGGCCATCCCCGCCTTCTAGAGACCGCAGGCCTCCGGCTGGGATCCGAGCTCCGGGGGTGGGGCTGCCTGTACATAGCGCTGTGAATAAAGCGGAGTTTCTCTCCCTGGCCTTCCGTGCGGGGTTGGGAGGAGGGCAGGGAGCCAGTGACCTGTAACCCTGCAGAAGGGGGGGGCGGGGAGCGGGCATATGTCTGGGTCTGAGGGAGGAGGGTTCTCGGGGTGGGCTACTGGGACTGAGGGAGGACGGGGCCAGTTCCGGGGCTGGGGTAACAGACTCCCAGCTCTCAGGAGGGGGTTGGGGAGCCGAACAACTTGTGGTCCCCGATCGAGTGGGACTTAGGGGGCTGCCTGCCTAGTGCCTCTGCCGGGTTCTGGGCGTGCTCAGGGTCGACCTAGCCCTCCTTGACACCAAGTGGCTGCTGTTTCCTGTTTGCCTGCGGTCACATGACTTGATGGGCACATGTCACTCACGGTTACCAGCGTGATGCTTCCTTCCCAGTGCAGCAGCGGGCACTGCAGCCCGTTATTTCATCCCCACCACGACCTCATTGGCTATGGCCTGAGGTGGGGTAAATGGCCCCAGGTCGCCCAGCTGGGAGGGTGCCTTCCAGAGCTCTCCGGGATTGCGGAATTGCCCCTCCATCACCTGACTCCTCCTGGTGTCTCTGTCTTGGCTGAGGAGGGGCTGAGTGGGCTTCCCAAACCCTGGGCTTTGCAGGCAGAGTTGTGTGAGCCTGGGTTGGTGACTTAACCTCTCTGATCTTCCATTTCTCCTCCAAAAATGGAATAAACGACCCTGCTCCCCATCAAAGCACTGTTGGGAGGAAGTGGAAGATCAGAAGGGTTCAGATGCTCAATAAATGGTGGCCGACTTGGCTGTTCGTGTTAAGGTCTGGCCACCAGGGGGCTCTGGGTTTCAGGGTTGCTGCCCTGTAGGTCCTGGAGGTGAGGCCCAGAAGCTTCCTGGGGAGACCTGGTGTTCTCAGTCCCACCTCCAGGCTTTGCTGGGCTGACTCCTTGTCAGGAATGCCCCCACCTTCCCAGCATCCTGCTCAAATCTTCCAGGGTCCTCCTAGAAGCCTTCCACGATTCTCTCCTCCCATCCCACCCAACCGAGGGCACAGCGTTCTCCCAAACCCCCGCCTCTCCATCCTGCCCTCACTGTGTGGACATCCGAATTCTTTGAGTCTCCTTTTTCTTAATTATTTATATATCGGGCCGGAAGGCCTGGACCAGATGCCCTGCCTTCCCTGTGGGGTAATGGAGCATCAGGTTAATTATTCATTCAACAAACGTTTACTGAGCACTTCCTCCGTGTCAAGTACTCCTCTAGGTGCTAGGAACACGACAGTGAACAGGAGACAAAAGCTCCTGCCCTCATGAACTTCACACTCTGGGAGAAATGGACAAAAAGCAAATAAATATAAATGTCAGGTAGTGTTGAATGCTACGAATTTTTAGAATGCAGGATAAGGGGAAAGAGGGAGACAGGAAGAGAGTTTTCCTAGGAACTAGGGAAGGAAGGGCCTCGGAAGGGGCAGCATTATGCAGAGACCTGCACAGAGCAAAAGAACAAATCATGAAAGCATCTTGGGGAAGAGCTCTCCAGGCGGAGCGAACTGCCAGTGTTTAAAAGGCGGGAGTAAGCGAGGCAAGCCCAGGGAACAGCATGGGGTCCCATGTGGCCAGAGCAGAGTGGGCAGGAAAAGACTAGAAAGAGATGGAATGAGGCGTGGGCAGGGTGGTCATACGTGTTCTTGTGGAGGCAAGAAGGGCTTGGATTTTATTCTAGGTGTGATGGTAAGTCTTTGGAGGGCTTTGGTCCCAGGAGTGGATCCAATTTTCATTATCTGTAATTAAAAACTACTCCAACTGCTGTGAGGAGAATGGGCTGTAGGGGGCGCAAGATGATCAAGGTGAATTGTATGGGATGGTGTCTGTGTGCCAGGCAGGCACTGTGCCAAGTGTTCCTTCTTCATTAGCTCAGTGAGGTGAGGAATGGATTTTTAACCCCAATTTTATGAAGGATAAACTTGTGGCCCAGAGAGGTGAAGTAACATGCCCAAGGGCTCACAGCAACAGATCAGGAAAGGAGCTGGGGCTCTGGATCCTTTTGCTGTGCCAACTGCTGGAAGCCAGGGGACCTGGGTTCTTGTTGCAGATGTGCCACTGAATTCCCATGTGGCTTTGGGCAAGAGACTTTTTCTCTTCTGTTCAATAGTTTGTCCCTCCATATGAGGAGGCGGGGGGGGGGTTAGATTTCTGTTGCGGTTTCAAGCAGCACTATCCAATAAAAATATAATGCAAACTATATGTGTGATTTTAAAATTTTTGGTTAGGCATAGTGGCTCACGCCTGTAGTTCCAGCACTTTGGGAGGCCAAGGCAGGAGGATCGCTTGAGGCCGGGAGTTCCAGGCCAGCCTGGCAACATAGCAAGACCCCCATCTCTTTATTATAAAAATATATATATTTTTAAAAGAATTTTCTAGTAGTCATATTTTTAAAGGAGGGAGAGTGGTGAAATTTTAATGATGAATTTTATTTGACTCACTATATGCAAAACATTATAGTTTTAACATGTATTCAATATTTTAGAACTTTGAGTTCTTTATGTCTCTTTTTTCGTATAAAGTTTTCAAAAATCCAGTGTGTATGTTAGTTACACTCACAGCCCATCTCAATTCAGATTCCCCGCAGTTCCGTCGCCACACGTGACTCGCGCTGTTCTGCTCGACAGCGCAGGTTTGCAGCGTGCGTTCCAGAGCCGGACTGCCCGAGTTTAAGACCAAGCTCTGCCCCTTGAGCCATGTGACCTTGGGCAGGTTGCGCATCTGTACGATGGGGGGAAGGATGATACTGCCACCCTGTGGTTATTGTTGGAAACTACTGTACACATGAGCAGTTTGAAGAGCAGCCCGGTTTAGTGTGCTGGTGTGCGCTCCTTGTGTGCTCACTGCCTTCCTCACCGGGGCCACTTCAGAGCTGGGGAAGGTGCTGTTCTCAGCTGTTGCCACAAGAGGCCACTGTGACCACACTGCATCAGGTGGCCATAGCCGGCAAAGCCAGGTCTCTCCCTCCCGGGCCCAGATAGGGAGCTGAGCTGTCTCCCTGCTGCCCCCTGATCTCTGAGCCAGTCCTCAGGAATGAGAGACAGCATAGGTCTTAAGGCCCTGTATAAACACTGGACACTCCTTGACCTCAAGACCCCTGTGTTCGTTCATTCGTTCATTCAACAAACACTTACAGAGCACGTAATTTGTGACTGCAGTGAACAAAACAAAAATCTGTTTTCATGGGAGAGACAAAAAAAAAACAAGAAAAATAAGTTGCATATAGAGTATGCCAGATGGTGACAGAGAGAGGGCTGGGGAGGGTGTCACATATTTTGAAGTAGGGTGGGTAGGAAAGGCCTGGGGAGAAGGACACATTCATGCAAAGACCTACATACACAAGGTGAGGCAGAGAGCTCTGTAGATTGGCAGGACAAGCGTACCTGGCAGGGAACAGCCAGTGCAAACTCTGAGATTGGAGGAAAAGGCAGAAGGGGTGAGTGGAGGAGAAGTAAGAGGGAGAGGTCACACAGGCTCGGCTTTGGTTTTTAGCGCTAGGGAGCACAGAAGATTTTCGAACAAGAGGAGTGATAACGATCATTCCTTTATTCACGCAGCAAACATTTCCTGACGCCTCCCAGGAGCCGAGAGGCCGGCGCAGGGCAGTGGGGAAACAGAGCTGAGTCAGCCCAGTCCCTGCCCTCAGTGGGCTCCTTGTCTGCTGGGGAAGGTGGGCAGGAACACCGGCAAGTCAAGACCCAGCAGGATACGTGTCACCGTGGGGGTTAGGAGGGACACGGGGGAGCCAGAGGTGGGGCGTCTAACCATTCCATGGTGCGTCATGGAATGCTTCCTGAGGAGGCAGTGTTTAAACCAAGACCCAAAGATGAGTAAGAATGAGCACAGGGAAGGGTGAGCGGGACAAACATGCAAGGCAGAGAGAACAGCAGGCACAAAGGCCTGCGGGCGCGGGAGCACCGTGCACCTTCCCGGAGCGGGACGGGGGCGGGCTCCCTGTGAAGGGTCACAGTGCCGTGCTGGGCGGGCATCTGTCTGGGCTGATGGGGCTCTAGAAACAGCCAGTCCCAGGTGTCAGAAAGATCCCCCCAGGGCCATGTCCAGGAAAGAGTAGAGAAGGAAGCTTGTAAGCCAGGAGGCTGGGGAGAAGGCGGGGTGACGGTCCAGGCATGGATCCGACAGCCAAAACTTAAGGCAGCGGCAAGGGCATCGAAGGGTGGGAAGAGACGTGAAGGCTACTTAAGAAGTCCTCACTTAGAGCCGGGAGTCCTACTCAACACTGAGAGTGTTTCGTAATCCTTAGAAGCTCCTACATGAACTCAAAGATGGTGTAAATCCAGGGGAAGTCTCTCCTAAGCAGACAGACTAACAACAATAAAGAAGTTTGCCCCTTAGGCAGGTGGCCACAGTAAACCCAGGAGACTCCGGCTGAGGAGGAAGCCACAGTAAACATGGGGGGCCGGGGAGGGGGCTGCTGAGGCTGGAGACACCGATCACCACGGTGGGGGTGGGGCTGTTGCTGTGGTCTGTGGCCTCGGCCAACACAGCCCTACAGAAACACAGGGGACTTTTTTATTCTTTTTGGTCGTGACAGTGGATCTGTGAAATTCCAGCATCCCATCCCCTGGGATCAGAAGCATTTTCCCCCTGCAAGAGTCTGGAGCTCAGTCTCAGAAAGATGGGCTTCCTGCATCTTCCATCTGTGTGTGCTCTCCAGGGCTGGGTAATTGGAGGTCACTGTCAGGGCTGAAGAAGAGGCGTTGGGTGCAGAGCCTGGAGAGAACCAGGCTCCAAGACAACCTCACTCACTCGGCCTGTTTTCCTAAAGCCCCTGCCAAGTGCCAAGCACGAGACTGGGCACCAGGGATCCAGCAGTGAATGAGATGGACAAGGTCCCTTGCCCTCATGAAGCCTCAGTTCTGGTAAAAGAGGTGTTTCGTTGTTCCACAAATGTTTACTGAGCACCTACTATGTGCCAAGGCACAGATGCAGGTCAAGCAGGTGAAAATCTCTGCCCTGTCAGAGTTGACACTCAAGCTGTGGGAGACAGATTACATGGAAGAATAAGAAAGTCAATAAATAATGCACGAGGGACGTCTGACGGTAAGTGCCATAGAGAGAGAAAATAAACAACAATAATAAACAAGGAAGCAAACTCATAAAGCAATTACAGATTAAAAT